GTGCAAAATACAGAAATAGGAAAATAAATCATGGATGTGTCCGATACCTGCCGGCTGGCTTTCTCGGGCTAGTTTATCAATGAATTAATTGCAAAGGTGTCTGCCTTAACTCATCAGCTATTGGCAAGCAGGAAGCCCTCCGGTGAAATGCAGGCTGCTGGGCGGGAGCTGAGCTTTTAGTGAAACATTTGAGCGTGTGCTTAAAACCCTGGCCTTCAGTTAGGTCTGAGCACGTGCCTAAAGTAAGCGCAAATCCGTGCATATGCTGAAATTTGTTCCCGGCACAGCGATTTTTCAGGTTTCTTGGTATTAGTGTGCTGCTGCTCTTGGAGAGCCGCTCCCACATGGTTAGCCCGCAGGGGAAAGTTTCTTCTTTCAAGTTTCGGTCGCCGTCCCCAGCTCTCCCCCTGCGTGCTCAGATTTGAACCAGGCATCAAAATGGAGACGTACTGGTGGCCCCATCCCATTTTAGGCTGCGCTTTTTGGAAGAGAGGTTCTGCCTAACCCTTCCAGCACCCGCTTGTGTCCTGCGGAGGGGAACCGGCCACCGGTGGTTCGGCTGGGCGACTCCTGCGCCTCGGCTCCCAGCTACAAATGTGAGAGGGGAAGGTTAAAATTTAACTAAAAAGGGGTTTTCAATTACACAAATGTTTCCGTGAATAATAAGCTTTGTAAGGCATTACCCTGCAAATCCTAAATATGGGGTTTAACCTCCTCGTTATTATCCCTTTAATTTCGGAAAGCCTTCGAGGGCCTTAATCTTCCGTACAATTAAGTTAAAAGCACCCTGGCGGCTGCGGTGACACGGAGGGGTGACACGGAGGGGCGGCACGCGCTCAGGCTGACCTTTATCAAACACGATATTAAAATCTCCCATCGTGTTTTCTCATCCCGGGATGGGGGCAACCAAACACCTTTGGGGGCAACCACAACTTTTCTTCCGTGTCGCCCGAGTATGCCGAAGTGGGGCGATTTGGGTCGGGCTGTTACCGAGTCCTGGGAAGGGTTTCCTGCCCCGAATCAGTGTGAGATCCCCCCCCACCGTGGGAAAGGTGGGACCCCCGTGGAGCTGGTGTTTGCTGCCCCCCCTCCTCCCACAGGTGTTTATAGGGGGGCTCTGCGGACCTCGGGGCTCCCCAGGTCTCCAGTGCGGGAAGCTCCGTAGGGAGCAGCAGCTCCCCGCATCCCGGGGGGGGGGGGGGGCTTTCCCACGACCACCC